AATGTCTTTCTATTAACATTTTCTTCTTGATAGGAAAAGCATTTTCGTACTATTTGATCTTTTCGTTGAATTACAACATCATAGAAGATTAACAGTCAATACAACAGAAAAGGCAATGCATAATAGAATAAGAAAATCAAATAGTGTGAGTGCTTTTTGCACTCATAGAAGAAAAAAATCAACTTATCTTATTTACAAACTTTTTTTTATACACGATAAACACAAAAAAGTTTCTTCTTTTATTTTACTAGAACATGTTAGGACACGTTTCTCTAGAAAAGATACTTAGTAAACTGGTGGGAAAGTCTATGGAAGTTAGATCACCATTATCGGCGAATTTCTCTGAAAACTTAGAATTTGATCTCACTTCAAAGAAGGTAAAGTTTTAATTTATCAATACTATGCAATTTTCCATAGGCCGGCGGTCACTTGGTACAACATAGTTCCTCTTCACTCGAAATATAGCTTTTGTAGGTTTTAGGACAGGCTATTTCTAAGGAGATCAGAAAATCTTCAAAAACTGATTTTTGAGAGGTTTCCAGAGATCGGATCTCTGGAAACCCTTTAGAACATCACTTTAAAAGTTTTTGAACTGCATCATTAGATTTGCCATGGTCGAAAACCTGCCGAAAACTGGTTTTCACAGTTTCTGGAAGCTCGAAGATGCCATACTAAAACATCAGCTACAGCTTTAGGGATAAACCTTGGAGGCTCCAAGGTTTATCCCTAATCGCTGTTTCCAGCAAACTTCAGCAAGAGTTCGTCGAAAGTGGACAAAAGACACATGATTAAATGCAGCTTTTCACGCTGATTCTGAATCTGCCCTCAGTTTTTAGCTAGGATGCTTTTTTTAATCGTCGAGTATAAGAACGTCGCCGAGCCACTGGTCTACCGTGCGAAAAAAATTAAGTAAAATGGCTAAATAACATTGAGACGTAGTAAACAATGCAGCTGAACAGTTCAGGAACCGAAACTTTTAAAAGACCTGCAGACCATTTTTGCCTGTATTCGTTAAAGTTGCAGTTAATTATGATGTCGTTTAAGATGTAACTTATTTCTATAAACATACGTAATATCTATCAAAGGTCATAAGCATTTTGTTTCATTTTTTAACAATGTAATGGCTGAAATTTCTAAACTTTGACTAAAAACATTATTCTCTCTATTCCGAATGGTTCATTTAAATTAAAAACTTAGTTTTGTATAAAAAACGCATTGTGCACGTCATTGTTATAAATAGTCTAAATTAGTGGGAAAATCGATCGAATGTTTTGTTGCTCTTTTTCTGAATACCAAACGTTTTTTTGATCTTATGAACAAAGTTTTTGAATTTTGATGGTATAGTCATATTTAACTCGGCAGCTATATTTACAGCAGTCCGCTTTATATCTTTTCTCCTTGCTAAGATTTCTCTTGATTGTTTAACAATTTCCCGTTTTAAACGTGGTTGACATACACGACATTTTGACGTTTTCGCTCCACGTTGACATGCCTACAAGAAAAAGTTAAAAATAGAAATACTACGTTTTCAAAATATCGACTACTTTGATTGAATGCCTATTGTTAAGCATTTTCGTACTTCTCTGATTGGAATATCCGGACAACATTGCTCATGTTGTTGACATATTCTATTCATAGCTTCAATCCAACAAGCCGAGTACAAGCGACAATTTCCAAATTTATTTTTGTCATTAACACATAAATATTTCCATGTTTGCAAAGCAACGGCTTTTTTTAATGAGGGTAGTTTCGGCTGGTATCTGTAACGATTAAAATGAACTAGTTTTTCTACGGCCAAACGAGCACACATCGGATGAACGGGACAAATGTTCAATAAGAAACCTTGCGTTATTCTGTTTGAATAAGAAAGGAAATAATGCTTGAGATAAATCTTGCGCAGGTATGTCGGCTAAACTTACGCTGGAATACATTTGGATTCCTGAGATCCATGCTCGGTTAATCCATTATTGTCCATTCCGTTGGCAATGTTAAATACCGGATAACATTGAAATGCTTCGTGCATTTCAAACGCCACCTTATTTAGAAGTGTTTTATGATGTTCTGATTTATTATTCGAATTTAATCGTAAACATTGTATAACTATCTTTTTAACAAAACGTGTGATGCTTTCATCCTGTTCAACAAGATTTTGAATCATTTTTGTTGTTTTAGTATTGCTGAGTACATGTTGTTTCCATTTTTTGAATGGTAAACGCTGAGCTAACGATGATATATGTTTCAATAAATGTTCATTGCCTAAATACCAGATATTGTAGATTTGAGCCCCATACATACAAAAGATAAACTCTTGAATTAATTGGGCTTTTTCTCGAAAAATTGTACATCCACTTTGCCATTCACTCGAGTTTCTTCGAATATCTTCAGACGAATGTTCATAAATCATTTTTGGATGATAACAACTAAACAATGATATTATTTGTTTTATTACTTTATCGACGTTTTTCACGTGTATCTGTTTATGCCGTACCTTGTTTCGGGTTGTTTATAAATTACTGGAAAATAGTGTTCAAACAGATCACTGTCAGGTGTTGGCATATGCATTACTTGTGGGCCGATAAATGTTTCTCTCATTTTTAAATCTTTGAACAATGGTTGAACTATGGACAGAGGATCGAATAAATCTGTTCGTGCCTTGACATACTTCAATGTGTCATCATCGTGACATTGTAAAACACCACCGTTTGATGAATAACCAACTTTCAGCGTTTCATCATTCCCAATATTCGCCTCCTTCTCTTTGTTAGATTGCGGCTCTTTACCTTGAAATAGCCGAGGTGGTGATGATAAAGTACACACAAGAGCCTGATCACTTAAACTATGTGATATATTGTGATGTTCGATAGCATCCCTACAACACATGTTATTAGCTATGATACACTGTTACTACATTTTACTGTTCTTTAATGTTAGTCCCTTAATTGACATATAAACGAGAAGACAGACGCGAAACACTAACATTTCGCTTTCCGCTCAATTCATAGCAGACTGAAGCGTCAACTAATCGATACAAAGAAACATTCTACTATAATCCAGGTGTTCAGAGATCGGCTGTAAACTTCCAGCTGAACATATTTTGGCACTGCAAGATTGTAGAGCACGTTGAATTATCTATGTGGGAAAATGTTCAGAACCAACGAACAAGTTTTCGGAGAGATAAATGAACTTTTAGGATTCAAAAATCTGAACTATTTTGATTCCATGCTGGATTAGAAAGTAAAATTTTTCTATCTCTGCGAAAACTTGTTCATTGGTTCGGAACATTTTCCCACATAGATGATTCAACGTACTCTACAATCTTGCAATGCCAAAATATATTCAGCTGGAAGTTCAAAGTGGTTCTTTGGAATCCCAGATTTCATAGATCATTCCAGAAAGGCCTAGCAGCAGAAACGGATATCAGATTCGTGATTAGTATCAAAGACTGCCCAGAATCGTGTATGTTTTAAGGAAAAAACGAATGAACACTTTGAGTTCACATTAGATTCCCTTGTAAGCTAGACGCATAATTTTATGGTGTGATAGTTACTTGCATCCATTTCGATTTTCAACGAGTATAAAAAAGCTTGGATGTTTGAAATGCGCTTTCAGTTCTTCGAAAGTTGGTATCTTTGGTTTACTATCGACTTTTTAATTAAAATTTTCTTTATATATATCATTTTCTGAACAGTGCACTGGAAAGAAACGGGGAGTAAATAGTCATCCTCTTAAGAGCCATTGCACGTAAGCCACGACCGACGTTCTTCAATCGATATTCTCGAAACTTTTCCAAAATAGGGGGCTTTTGTAGACCAAACATTTTAAGGAATTTTGGTGAAAGGCGCAAATCAAAAAGTGTATCGTTGCTGAGATATTGATATTTTACGAAAAGCCCTGAAAAA